GATTTCTTTATAAGACTGACAAGATTATGTTTTTCCAATCCATCTATACACTTTTTAGCACTGGACTCTGCAACTATGGTACCTGTAAGGGTCCTGTATCTGCTTATGAAACAGAGACCAGAACTGAACGCAGTATTACAAATGTGGTCCAACTGCACATGTACAGTTTGAGCTGATCTTTTCTAGGCTAGCTTCTTATGCAGTTTGTATCTAATCACCCTGTCCTTCACTACTTGGACTTCACAATCTTCAAGCTTCTCATACAACTTATAGTGTTTCCTGCTTCTTCACTTCTAAAGCCTAGCAAACACTATCTGTAAGAGTAGAGCCAATTTTCAGTGGACCCAAATGATATCAGGGTTTGAAGATGACAAATATAGATTTTATAAAAGGAATATTTTTTTAGCCTGGAACATAGGGGTTTTAGGACAAATCCCATCAAGGAGTACACAGTTCTGAAAAAGATCAATACACAATGTGGCACAATGTGTGCAGCTGACTGAAATCAAGCAAAGCTAAAACTCACCTAGTTTGGCCACAGTGGACTTGACTCTTTCCAGGCATTGCTCTGCCAGCTTCAGCATCTTCAGAACTTCCTCTGTTACAATCTCTGTCTTGTCTGCACACATTATAACAACATTAACACGAGATTATCAGAGTGCAAAACAGCCAGGCCAGCGACAGTGACCTAGAAAACTCATCAGTGCCACAAAATTGACTACATTTTGCACATAACTTTTATTAGTAATAAGTAAACTCAATTTTTTTTATTTGATCCTTTGATTCAAATCTTACACACATTCCTGACATCTGCACACAACCATAAAATGCCCAGCTATTTTAGACCAGATCTATTTAATTATTAAAGTTGACTCTTACATGTTTAAAACATACATTTTTAATTTCACATCACTTTGCATTTCATGGCTGAGTTGGGTGAGAGAGACAGCAGGTGCAAAACCACTGTTATAGTTTCTTATGTTCAATGTAGAAGCTGCTGCCATAATTCAAAGAATACTGAATGACTTTATACAGGCTGCAGTCTGCAGTCACAGTGGTAAGCTGCAAATACAACACGTGAAAGAGCCCATCTCCATCTAGCTCGCACAACAGATTTCATGCATATTAGAGATAGCAGGGAACACTTTCTACAACGGCCTGGCTGGGGAAATAGGGCTTATTTTAACTTTAGTCTTCAAAAATGCAAAAAACAAAAATATTTCATAAGCAATGTCTTCTCAACAAAACGTATAACTCAAGGGAGGGAATGAGTCACATTTTGGCTTTGTTTTCTTGCAGATTTTCCATTCTTTAGACAGTAAACCAGAAATATATTCCCTCAGATTGTATGCACACATAAGGTCTCTGTAATGAATTTCCTCTTTAATGGCAGCACATTATGAAGCACCTTAGGGGCCTTCAAGGTTCTGGAGACAAACATTGTTCTGGGAAGAGGATCAGTTGTGCACACTGCTTTGTTCAATTCAGGATCCCATTTTAAATCAATTCTTATTCAGTATTCTAGCCAATGAAGCACTAAAACAAAAGGTAGGGAGCGTGTCCATTTGCTTCAGTTGATGAGGGTGGAAAAAACAAACTAACTTGCATCCTAGCCCAGCCAAACCCCTGTCTAAATTCAAGCACTCCACCTTGAAACTGAGGTCTGAATCGGGTGTTTTTCCCGTCTGACTGGTATTCCAGATCAATATGTTTCTGAGAGAGGTGTGATGATGAAAGGTGAAAAACAATGCCCTTAATCACTGCCACGTGAAAAGCTTTTGTGTGTTTGCTGCTGATGAAAGGTTAGAAACAACAGTCCACACCGTAGCGTAACAATCCCTGTGTGTTTAGTGCTCAATAATACTTGAGTTACTGGTTTCAATCAGATACTGCATCATTTGTTTTGTTTATCATTACTTATCACTTTTTCTTGAACATTAACTAAGTTCTGATATAGGCTTATGATCTAATTTCATTCCTTTAATCAAGAATCATAGCTTTCACAATTATTTCAATTGCCATTTCATGGACATTGAAGTGTCATGTAGCAAAAACAAAGCTTCTTACGTTTCGGCACGGCCTCCTCTAGAAGTGCCTGGGAAATGTAGTTAATGCTCTTCAGGTATTCACAGTAAGCCTCCTGGGGACAAAACAAAGCAGAAACGTGAGCAGTCTTCTTTCAAAGCTCTGTCAGCCTTAAGTACGGATTTGAATTTTAGACTTTTTTCATTATGGAAAGCAGACTGTGGCTTCCAACACTTGAGGGCGCACGGCTCACAGAGCCAAAATGTTGAATGGAGTTTCATGTTCACAGCACAATTTGTAAACTAAGCAGTAACAGACACTATTCTCTAATTGCCATGGGGCTGTGTAGATTTATTAAATGTGAGAAGCATCTATAGGAGTCTATAGGGTTACAAGGGATTTGATTATAATTTTGCTACACATTGGTGGCACTGGAGGGGAGTCTCCATTCTGGAGTGTCCAGAAAAGTGCTATATAACTGTAAGCAATTATTATTATAATGTCCACCACAGGCGAATGGACCTTCTTCTCTCTTGATGTCTTACACATGATGTCTTACACACAGAGGTCTGAATTGGGTGGGGGAGAGACACTCTGTGGGAGGGCTCCCACCCCTGGACAATGATGATCGCAAAATAAATTATTTTTACAAAGCAATTAAATATTTAAAAGAAAGAAAACAAAGCTGCCTACTGGCTTAACAACCGTGCTTTAGCCAGACACCAAAATCTTCATCCCTGTGGCTTGTGGTTTGCGGGGAATTTCCGTGCTTGCAGTTTCAGTCGCACCAGCCTTCCAATCGATGCGATCTCTGACATGCTCAACAGCAGCAGTTAAAAAAGTGTGACTGAGAAGCTTCCGAGGAAAGCACACCAGGCCTGCCTCCCTTCTGTTCCCATCAGAGTCCCCCAGGGGTAAAGGCCAGCTGATTCACACAGGACAATACCCAGATTCTAAACTGAAATTTGCAGTTTCCAGAAAAATAACAATAGTAAGAAATGTTTTCTTGTGGACAAACAAAAATAACCCCACAGCACTTATAAACATCACGGAAGGGTGGAAGGGTGGAAGGGAGGTGTCTAACAGCTGTCTTCTGAGTTCAGCAAATTTCTCAGGGGACATTTTCCATCCCACCTTCAGAACAACTCCACTGAGTTTAATTCTCCATTGATCAGGTTCTCAGCTGATGATTTACTAGCTCATTTGAAAAAGAGATCTTGATAGCAGCCAACTTTTTTTAGGAACCTCAAATTTAAATGAATAATCAGAAAAATAAAGTAAGCAACACTATAGCGGCCTTTGAGTAACTGGAACTTTGTGTGCATACGCTGTTAAACCCGAAACCACTTGCTATATTTGTACAGTATAAGAATATTTTCCCAGTACGAAACCAAAAAAGTCAGAAACAACCAAATAAAGATATAAAATCAGTCCAAAGGGTAACTTATATAACTTCTTAATTAAGTCACAATTTTGGGTAACTTGGTCCTCTCATCAGTCATATCAGTACATTTGACAGCACAACTCGCATATGCAAGGGCATGTGCCTGTAAATATGGCCAGAATATTTAAAAACATATTTTAAAAGCAAAGAATGTTATGTAAAACATAGGCGGAGCGGTGGCACTGTGGCTAAGGATCTGCGCCTGTGACTGGAAGGTTGCCGGTTCAAATCCTGTGGCCGGCAGAGGAATCCTACTCCATTGGGCCCCTGAGCAAGGCCCTTAACCCTAACTGCTCCAGGGGCGCTGTACAATGGCAGACCCTGCGCTCTGACCCCAGGCTCTCTCCCTGTCTGTGTGTCTCATGGAGAGCAAGCTGGGGTATGCGAAAAGATAATTCCTAATGCAAGAAATTGTAAAGGGTTAATAAAATAATGTGAATGTTAATGTTAATTAAAGCATCACACTAGGTAACCAAATAAGCAAGGCAGGCCGAACTGACCTTACCTTGATGAAGTAATAATACTAGTTTCTAAATATTATCAAAGTATTTCACGTGACAGAAATAAACATTAAAAACAGGCAGTAAAGGCTACACAAGCAGGGGTCATAGCAATCTATTTAAAAAAACAAATACCAAGAACGGTAGTTATATACTTATTTTGAATAATAGAATACAAAGTATTAATTTTTCATTGAGGTTATTTAAGATGATAATACAATTTAAAAAATTGCACCTATTATTTAAAAGGAGGCATCTTTTTATCTGTATATACAGCATATGCTTTGGAAGAAACTAGGACGAGCAAATGAGGCCGACGCATATACAGTACAGCAGATAGCAGCGTTGTGTATGTGGGGGGTTGTACACGATAGGGGGCGCTCACAGTGCATTTGCAACCGTGAAGATTCGTCTCCTCCGGCTGGCACCCGCAATTCAAGCATCAAAGTGCATTCGTCCTGAACATGAAGGACGCCTGCAACCTATCACAACATTTAGATTTGTGAGGAAGGGAAGTGTAAGTATGCTGCAACACTAACGAGATACTGTAAAGCGCTGATCAAAATTACCTTACTGATATGCGTCCATAATATTTTTTTTTTACTGGAAAACACTATGATCTGTTACAGTCCAATTAAAAACATACAACAGCATAGCCTGAAGCTGGAAACACGGTGATTGCATTGTAAAGTTTTAACTGTGGTCTAATCTGTGGAGCTTGAAAGACGAAACAAAACCCCCCCAAAAAACTCAATGAGTTAAACGTAAAGTCAAAACTAACGGACCCCTGTAGTGTTGACAGTCTCTACCTTGAAACGCTCAGAAACATCGACACCCCTCACCCAATGAAACAGCACTATTCACAAATTCAAATTCCTTTAGTTAATAAATACAGCGCATCACATCAATAACTACAGATATACTGATGATACAATATCGACGTGTATCGAACACCATTTCACCCCAACGAGTCGCCGGAAAGACTCCAGCTGAATAAACAGATTGCAGTCGGACAGGAGGTGCCATAATACAGCAACTGGGAATGCGTGTTTCAAATCAGAAATGTGACATAAACTGAAAAAAACTGATAATCGAAAAGGCGCATGAACACATTTCTGTCCGTATGAAGGGAAACGTGAATTGCAGGCTCATTAAATTTCAGAAAAACGCCTTTTATCGCTCGGCTGGGGTACGACTGCTTCATGACGACATGTAAACAGTGGGGTAGCGGAGTCAACATTGTGTCCCGTTACTGGATTTTTACAGACAATCCAAGGGGTGTCACTCGTTCTTTCTCGCGTCTTTGATAAAATATGTGTACGTTTTACCTTTTGTCTGTTCCCCGCGTCCAGTTCTATAGCGACATTGGCTAATTTCATGGCATTCTGGAGGGGTTTCAAGACCCCGTCCGACGCAGCGGCAGCCATCGCGGAACCAAAGATCTCGCGATGACTCCTCAGCACCCACCGGAAGTTGGTCGGACAGAATTTCCTACAACACCCACCACCGCTGGTGCGTGTGAGACTGCACGGAAAGTCAGATGGGTGTATTTTTTCACCTACATTTGCATATCTCATTTATTCAACGGGACAGTTTTCTTCTAAAACTTTAGTAGCATTAGCCTTGTCAATCTTTTTTTTTTTTCCTGGCTGATGATGGCACCTTTCCGGGCATTGCTCCTCTTGTTAGGGAGCGTCAAGTCCCTGATCTGATTTGAAGTCAGTTGTCACCGTTTCCACTGCGTGACAGTACTGACTTCACACTAGCGGACCCGAGGTGGCTCTCTTTCGTGTTGGTGCTGGGTCTGGGATGCGATGGGAAGAAGTCTCAGCAGCCCCGTGTTCCTGCGGTACTGCCACACGGCCGGTAGGGGCGCTGTGCCGATCTGCGGCCGAGTCGCTTCTCATGGTCGCTCTTGAGTCTCTCCCCACTTTCGCCACTTCCGCTCCCACTTGTTTACTTTCGGCTCTGGGCTTTTTTTTATGAGTTCTTTTTTTAAAAACAAAAACCGACCAGATATTAAAATTACGTTACATATAGGCCGTGCAATATTACAAAACACGCCCATGCTTTTATAACCGGCGGGAGGGGGTGGGTATTTGATTTGGAAACAAGAATCTGCTTCCACATTTCGCATCCATGTAATTACAATAAGAGAGAGTTTTAGCGTTCTTGGCAGTGGTGGGGAGAGTGGGCATGAAGCGAGACCGGCGCGGTCGTCTGGCTGCCCCGGCGCTGCAGACACGGTTAGGACAGCAGGCTGCGGGGAGCAGGCGGGGGAGACCGAGGTCTGCAGCCAGGAGGAATGTGTCCGGGGACCGGAGCGAGGGCAGCAGCAGCGGCCGGGAAGAAGGCGGCGGGCTGGGACTCGCCTCGTTAGATGTCGGAGGAGGGGGTGCTGAAGGCGGACCGGAGCAGCCGGGTTAGTGTGTCAGTACCTTCACTGCTTGCGGTGTTTTTTAAACACTCCTTGTGTCCGCGCCAGCAGGAGTGTGCACGGCGGGCGCCCGGTGCCGGGGTGCCCTTGAGCGCTGTGCTCACACGGCAGCCCCCGCTGTCAGTTCGCTCCTCTTGTGAAGGGCTGCCGCCTGCTCCCTCTCAGAGGTAGATTTTGAAAGCGATTTCTCCTACAAGGAGTTCCCCAAGCCCCGTCAACTAAAGTTTGTGCCAGCACCCCGAGGACCCCCGATCAAGTGGACGTGCCTGGCACGGATGTTATTTGCTTAGGGGGTTGCACTTAACAGTTTTAATGGGGCAGGACTTTCATTTGCAGCGCAAGTTACAGTGTCGGGCAGTTGTTTCCAAAGATTCGTTAAACTTTACCTGCAGTCAGCTTTTTGTACTTGTTTTCTGAACTTTCTCTAAGGCAATAAATCGCTGTGTGGTACAACGATCACAGCTAAATACAGAATTCTAAATGAGGTCTTGTTAATGTATTGTAAGACTTGAACACAACTTCTCTTGACTTGAATTACAGGACTTTTGCTCTATACTGTCCTTTTTGCTTTTTGTTGCTTCCCTGCCTGGCATTGATAAGAACATACAATAATCTACGTAGTCATTGGGGCAGAGTGGTGGCTTTGTGGCCAAGGATCTGCGCCTGTGGCTGGAAGGTTGCCAGTTCATATCCCACTCCGTTGGGCCCCTGAGCAAGGCCCTTAATCCCAGCTGCTCTCAGGGCGCTATACAATGGCTGACCCTGCGCTCTGAACCCCAGCTTCCCTCCCCGTCTGTGTGTCTGTGTCTCATGGATAGCAAGCAATGCAAAAAGACGAATTCCTAATGCAAGAAACTGTATGTGGCCAATAAAGTGATGTTATGTTATGTTATGTTTTATAGACACCTTTTATGTGTGTCCTTCTGCAGTTTAGACGCGGTCTTGTAATATGTGTCTGTTCCTTCTTCACATATTACAAAGTGGATCACTTTGCACACATTTGCCAAACGTCTGTCCAGTTTGTGATTTGGGTTGAGCCTTTTGCTAATTCTTTGGCCATCGTTTCTGTTCGTCACAACCCGTCTTTTTGTATCGCCTGCAAATTTCACTAGTTTTCCATTTGTACCAGAATTTAAATTGTTGGTGTAGCTGATATGGATTAGAATTCTATACATATGGGCCCAAGATGAGTCTCTGTGGTACACCGCTGCTTCTGTCTGCCCAGCTGGAGGCTAAGCCCCTTAAGGTTCAGCTGTAAATGCTGGGTGGGGTTTGTAATGAGCCTCAACCGTGGACCTGTTTTTGGATGTTGGTCCTCATCATCATGTTGTATGGAATGCAAGCAGAGATGCTTCTGCAGAGCGAAGAGTGTTATGTTCTAAATGGCTTCTCGTTTGTGCATCGAAACAGATAAGCATAAACGCCATTGATTTAAATTGCAGTGCAGGTGTAGATCATAGGACTGAATTAAAATTGGGGTGGGAGCAGCCTAATGACCGTCTGTTGTTCTCTTTGGCCCTCCAGGCTCAGGGAGGCTCACCACGGCGTTCTGCCGCCTGTGCCACGGCAAGTTCTCGTCGCGCAGCCTCCGGCACGCCTTCGCCAAGCTCCCGGCGGAGCTGGGGCGGCCCCCCGGCGCCGAGAGGAAGCACCGCGGCCCGCAGCTCTTCTTTGCCGATTTCCAGAGGCTGGTGGGCGTGCCGGTCCACCGGGACCCCCTGCTGTCCCAGTTCGTCTGCAAGAACTGCCACAGCCAGTTCTACAAGTGTCACAGCATTCTGCGCACCTTTGTGCAGCGGGTCAACCTCTCCCCCTCCTCCAGAGACAAGCCCCGGGGCAGGTGAGGGAGCAGGAGGTGTCTTCCTGGTGCAGCTGGTACTACCACATGGCACAGAGAGATAGATCCAGGCGGCGTGCCGCGCCAGCTCACCCTTGATCTCACCCGTGCATTCATTTGGCAGCGAATCTCCGTTTGAATCCATGTTTCGTAAACCTTTGGGTGGAAGGCCGCCATGGATGTTGTTTAAAATTACAGCTTTAAACTCTTCTACCAAAACATTCCACAACTGCAGTGTATTAAAACAGAGTGGGTCTGAAAGTTAATCTGATAGAGGCACTAGAATGTACTAACAGAGAAACAAGTTGCAACCGGTATTGGAGAGAAAAAAAAAATCGTTAGGACTAAGCCGTCCTGTATGTAGTTTTTTAATATTTTACCTTGAAGTGACGTTTTATTGCCAGTATACTTTTACAAAACCCACATTCAGTCCTAAATGTGTTATTGTGAGAGCAGAATTGGGAAGAAAACTGAAATTAAACAGATTGTGATTCTAAAGTAAAATGGTTTTCTACCTCGAAAGCATGTTTCAGTTCGATGGATACATTTTCAAAATGACAGACGTTACTGCATAATTTAAAGAGGATTTGTTTATCGATTTCACTGTTTTTGTTTCCAGGGAAGATTCACTGTCTTTGCACTCAGCTGGAGACAGTTCTGTGTTTGGTAAGTCTTCAGAATGCCCTGATACTTTGGCTGTCGTTGCCAGCGCCTGGTGCCAGTCTGACTCCCGTGCGCTGCGTGTGTGTTCACAGAGCAGGCGATCAGCTCCAGCGCGCAGCGTCTGCACGGCCTGGTCTCCTGGGCGCACCAGCACGCGGCGGGCTGCCAGGCGTGCCCGGCGCTGCAGGAGGTTCTTGCAGGGGGGTACTGCGGAGCGGTGCAGGCCGTCTGGGGCTGCGATGACGGGCACAGCTATGTCCTGGACGCGGCCTCCGACTGGCCCGGCCCGGGGCGAGGCCCAGCGGTACAGCCAGCAACCCCCGAGCGAGGGGAGGGGCTCGGGAGGCCGGCGGCAGCAACCACCGTCCCGGAGCCCAGCACCCAGCTGCGGCCGGGCAGCACAGCCCTGTGCGGCTCGCCCAGCCCCCAGCCTGTGTGTCCAGTGGCTCCGCACACCCAGGACGGCACACTGCAGCCCTCCCAGAGTGGGGAGAGCCTGGAGGAGCCTTCCTGCCCCAACAGCGCCGACGGTGAGACTGCAGGCAGGGCAGGGGTGTTGACACAGCTCGGAAGTGTGCTTTTATTATTATCAAGGCCAAGTGTAAGAAAACATGGGTTTGATCCGTCCTGACAGGATTTTACCAGGTCTTCAAGAAAGGTTTCCAAGGGATTAACAGTGTCTATCATGCAGACAAGACCTCAGATTTCTGGTTTAACATCTTAGCCGAGAGATGGTACCTGCTGCCAACACTGGGCTGTGAAATTGGTTGTGTGTGTTTTGGTTAAGAGGGGAAATTATGTGTGCCAAAGACCTGCTCAGCCTTTGCAGTTTCATAAGTAATCAAATGTTGAAAGTTGTTTGGTTTCTGTAATGTCTTTATTGGGGAGAATGCTTCTCCAGGCATTTAACATGGTTTTTAGATCACGCAAACATCATTGCATTTCTATTTATACTCTTAAGCATCCATCATTGAAAATATGATAAAAAAATGTTGCTGCAACAAAATTCTAGCTGTTGGCATCTCTGATATTATAAGCACATAATGCACTAGTTAGCTACAGGATTATTCTGATAGTACTGGGCTAGCTGTACTCCTCCTATTTGGCAATACTGGATTACGGGGCTAAATTTACATTTTAACCAGAAACCTTTTTTAAGTCTTAAGATCAGATGAGATTCCCCATTGAAACGTATCTTTGATTTGGCTCTGAATATTCTTGGAAGCATATGGAAGCAATTTCAAATCCCCTTAATCCAGTGACAGGTGGACACAAGCAGGCATAGAGTCTTTAAAAATCTGTTTTTTTCCCTGTGTTTCCTTAGGACAGATAATCAGAGAGAAGCTCATTCCGGCGCCAGCAGAACCACTGGATGGGGTAGAGGACAGCGATCTATCAGACAGGTAAGTGCTAATTCTGCAAGTACACCTACGCTGTGGGCAGAGGGCCACTTTTTATGACAGCCACCAGCCTGATCCTTGGATCCACTGTCTGTTGGTAACCAAACAGCCTAGATGTGATGCATGCTCTCCTCTCATTTTAAACGGACTTATGTTCTTGTGTTCATCATGAGCTGGTCAGCCCTTTGAGTTTGGCATCCATACACAACATAATGATATACATGTGGTTGCTCATTACATAGTTTCTTACAGTTATACATTATTTTAATGATTACCAGGAATTAAAACATTTATTTTCTATGACTTTATTTTAATTCAAAGACAATGATATAGTTTGAGCTTGTTAAAAAAATGATGAGGACCAGTTTTATTTTCTCAGGTCCTTTCTGGTAGTATTGTCACACAACAGTAGTTGAAAGCACTGGTGGCCTAAGCACAGCTCAGAATGATAAACAGCAGTTGTGCGTCTCTTTCTCTCTGACCGTTGGCAGGGATTCCTTCAGTGAAGATGATGATGAAGACAAGAGGAAGAGCGGCTCATCTGATGAGTTGTTTGAGCCATATCCTGAAAAAAAGTGAGTGAGAGAATGTGCAGCTCATATACTATCGTGGAAAGACTTATGACTTTGAGGACCAGAGCCATCACAGTTAGTGTTTCAACTGCATTATGTACTTCATGATTCCCATGTTTTTTCTCTTTCCTGCCATCAGTTATGAGCACGTGCTGATAAACAAAACAGCCTAACGCTCTGTTTCAGCAAACCAGTGACCGCAGGCAGAAAGAGCAGAGGGTTTAAAAAATAAAATTAGTTTTTGTTTTCTTCCAGCAGGGTTTCCCCAAAGAAGAATGAGAACAAAGAAGAGAAGAAGAAGCCAGAACCAAAAGTGAGAAAGAAACCGGGTCCCAAGCCAGGCTGGAAAAAGAAGGTCAAGACAGAGCGGTAGGCCGGACCTCTGCTTCTCGCCACATTGTGCATCTGACACAGAACAGCAGAGGCGAGGGGGCTCCTTGGGGGATAGGAAGGAGTTGCCGGTCTCTGTCGTTAGCCAGACACATCCAGAATTCCCAGTCCTGATCCCGGAGGCCCAGATACCTGCTGGTTTTCATTCCAGCCCATCTTAATGACTTCATTGAACTCGCATGAACGTTTGACTGGATCATTTGCAAGTTCCTTTTTTCTGCTCAGACGTTTGGGATTTTATGTTCCATATGAAATGCACTCATTAAAAGGTGACCTCCAACATGTTTGAGAACTGGAACCAGTTAGACAGTGATGGCGCAGCACTGGATTTGTGCTGGGGAAGTTCAGAGGGCTTGAGCCAGCTGCACCACAGCTGTGAGCTGTGAGCTATATGTGTGCGAGCAAAGTAAAGGTGAAGGACACTCTCACTGGAGTGTAGGCTAACTCCCCTGTAAGGCGACCAGAGCTGCCAGCGTGTCGAATGGCGAGCGAGTCAGAGGCACGTGCGAACAGGGAAATTGCAGATGAGTAATTGTGAGGTGGACGAACGGCTGATGTTTTTCTAAATGAACGGGCTGTAAGATAGAAAAATAACTGGGTGATTCCAAGGGTATTAAACAGAAAAAATATTAATCATTTGTTGTGATGACGCAAAATATGAAGTCCGCATTACCTGTAAACAACCAATTAAGGATTTGGGGGTTTCGTTTCATCCTTATCTTATTTTTGTCACAGAGAAGAGCTGCCTACAATTTATAAATGTCCTTACCAGGGGTGCACGGCTGTCTACAGGGGGGCTGATGGCATGAAGGTAAGGAAGTCCTGTTATGAGGGAATTATCCTTTTTTCTTATGCATTTAGGGAATAACCTCGGAAAAATGTTGTTTTGCTCCGGCGATGGTGACATCACCACGGCCAAGTGTGAGCCCAGTGTAGAAAACTGGAGATTCAAATATATTTTTACTACCAAGCCTACCTCTTAAAGGGGTACAGTACTGCAGTAATCTAAGGCTCTGAATGTTTATTCCCCTGCTAATACAGGAATAGATGTGTAAACCTATCCAGTTTAAAAAGCAGGGCTTTTCTAAATTAGCTCAGTGTGCAGCCCTTGATGTGGTCACCAGCTGTGCCTGGTCTCAGTGACCTCGCCGTTTGAATAACACGGCGCCGTCCGTTTAGTGAGTGCCGGCTTGACGTTTCCAAAGAAATTGTTGCAAAGTGATTCGATTCATTTTAAGTTTGGTCCTAGTGACCATATCGGAGCTCCGTTGAAGTCTCAGCTCCCCGAACACAGGACCGCGCCTGTCCCTCTTAACACATTGTCGTGACCCCACTGCAGAAACACATCAAGGAGCACCACGAGGAGGTGCGGGAGCGGCCTTGTCCTCACCCGGGCTGCAACAAAGTCTTCATGATTGACCGCTACCTGCAGCGCCACGTCAAGCTCATTCACACAGGTGAGCCCGCTGCTCCCGGAGACTGCGGTCTGACCTCTCCGATTGGTTTCGGCCTCTGTAAAAGTGAACGTAATACCCCTAGAGGGACAAAGTGACATTTTAGCAGAGAGCCCCTGGGCTTTAAGCAACTTGGGCAGCTTCTGCATCTTGGGACGTAATCATCTAGCTTTGCTCACTGCTTGCTGTCTACTGAAAAAATTACAGTCCTATTCCAGTCATGAAACCAGAGAGGTTTTCAGAATTTTTAGTTATATCTGCCTGTACAAGATATCATCGGAGACTGCACAGAAGCTCGTCCTGAAATGTATCTATTATTTCCTGATAAAATGATAGACACATTGTAAGCAATTTCTGAGTTGCACAGGCAGATCTTATGTGAAAGCATTGTGAAAGTGCTACTATGCTGGATGTTTATCTTTCTTGGCAGTAGATCATTTTATGTGCTTTGATGCTCAGTGATCACACTCGCTGAAATGTTAATGAATGTGATATTAAAATTAGCTACTATTGCTGTTTTTAATAGCTCATGTTTTCTGCTTTCGGTGTATGTATAGTTATTGTATTTATTGGAGATTTGTCTTTGACAGAGGTGCGGAACTACATCTGTGATCAATGCGGCCAGACATTCAAGCAGCGCAAACACCTTTCTGTCCATCAGATGAGGCATTCAGGAGCCAAACCTTTGCAGTAAGTTCAGTAGCTGAAATGCATGAGATCTGGAAACACACCTGTTTGCTGGTTCTCTTTAACACTTCAGTTGTCAAAGACCTGCCGGAAGAACAGCTAATTAAACAAACAAATCCTACGGACCATTACTGACCTAAATGGTAACCACAAGAATGCTGTGAAAGATTCCCGATTGGCTAGTCTATCAGAACCACAGGAATTTCAGGTTTTCGTTTCACCTCTGCTTTTGATTTCTAAATTACTCGAATACCCTGCTGTTTCCATTTGTTTAACAATTGATAAGCGATGAAGATAGGGAAGCAGAAACCTGCATGACTGTCGACCTACCCGATACTAGACTTGATCTCCTCAGCAGTAAAATGTAGTCCTCTTTGGAGAGCAGCGGGATTCTGCTGTTCATTTTGTAAGGCTAATCCTTGAAATGTAACTGACAGCATGGTCCTTTTTTAGTTGTGGAGTTTGGCAAAGGCTACTGGGAGTTTTATCCAGTTCTTAATTCCACAGCTTTTCTTGTCTATATTGCTACTCTTTCAGCATGTTTTTGGTGACAGAGGTATGATGGTCCAAAGAGACAGGAATGGAAATATGGGAGATACTTTGTTTTATAGCTGTTTGATCTGTCTCGAGTAGTAGGAGCTGAGGGATCCAGGTTGCACTGGAGAAGCAGGAAAGCAGAGACGAACTGTCAGCTTCCCACCTCCCTGCGCCGGTTCCTGTGACGTAAGGTGATGAGTGTGCCGTGCCCGTCCTGTGCTGACTGGTGTGTGTTGCCGTCTCTCGAGGTGCGAGGTGTGCGGCTTCCAGTGCCGGCAGAGGGCGTCGCTGAAGTACCACATGACCAAGCACAAGGCAGAGGCGGAGCTGGAGTTCGCCTGCGACCTGTGCGGGAAGCGCTTCGAGAAGGCCCACAACCTCAACGTGCACATGTCCATGGTGCACCCCCTCACCCTCACAAGCGTAGACAAGGGCAAGCCCGACGAGGAGCCCGCTCAGCACCCGCCCGCGGGGGAGGCGGTCCTCGTGCTGCAGGGGGACCCCAGCTGAAGCAGGAGCCGGGAAGCCCCGGCTGCACTCTGCTGGTAGACCACGCAATAAGAATGAGTCCAGATACCGGCCATTAAAGAAGCACAGCACTGCTGCATGAAGAGCAAGGAGAAAAATCAGTCTTTTAAAAAAACTGCACAGGTTTCCCTCATTCTGATGAAGGGCTTTTGTGCTGGAGAGTCTGTACAGCAGTAGAAATAAGATGTAATTGGGTTTGTGGCTCAAACGACATCTTTAAACAGAGGTTTCTTTTCGAGATGTTCAAGTTTAATATCTAATTCGAACCAACACAAGGTTGAAAATCTGTTATCACAGTACTGACAACATTTTTTTTTTCCTTCATGCTTGGTACTTTTACAGTGTCAGAGTTGTTTGTTTTTTTAAATAGCCGTTCAAATTAATGACATTTTTTAAGAACACTGTTCATCTGGTTTAACATTTAAATTTCTGGACAGATATTATTCTTTGCTTTGAGCTAAGGGGTTGAATTACATACCAGAGTGAAATAAGTTATAAGAAAAGCCTGATAGCGTTTAGAGGAGTGTGTGCTGTGACAGTCTATAACAAAACTGTTCGAACTGGGTAAACAAAGCATTCTGCATCTTCAGGGTTGCAGAAGACTTCAGATAACACATAAACAGGCAGATCCTTATTATGTGGTAATTAATAGCTGTACATTCAGGGAAACCCGATAATACACGATAATTAATAGTGATGAATTCTGTGAGCAGCTGACCTGTCCTCGGGTACTCCAGATCCACTGAATCCCTCTGCTATTTCTCAAATTGCACTTGAACCACGTTTCAGAAAAAATGGGATCTATAACAAGTCTAGCGGTCTCACCTAGCTAAGAACTACCCATCTTGTGTCAGCCTTACAGTCAAAATAAACCTTTTTTCCAAGTTAATATTAATAGCCTATAAATACAGCCAGCTAAAATCTGACCTGACGGTAAACTGCAGTGTGTCAGAAGATTGCCGCAATAAACTGTGAACTTCCCAACCCTTCCTCTTAAATAGGAGCAGTGTTCTGCTGAGGAAGTTCACAGATCAATCCCCAGGGTATTAGCAAGAACCTGTAGGAGGCAGGGTTTGGATTATAACTGTGTGAGAGGAACAGGCTGCAGGTGACAAGACTTGATTGTTTTGTTCAGAATTTCTCTTTATGGACCGAGAGGAGTTTTTAGGTCCATTGCAATTTAACAACATTGGAATATAAATCCACAAATGCCTAAGATGAGAACTGGAAATCAAGTATTCTGGCATTAAAGGATTAGTATTGTTCTGTAGATTAAATTTACTTTAGATTATAATCATTGCCATGTAGTTTACAGTTGGTAGTTTTGCAGAAAATAACTCAAGCACATGAAGCATTGCCACTTTTGTAGTCCAAACTCCTAAATCCCATGACCTGCATCCTGTCCCAGATTCTGATTTCTTACCAACACTATAGTTTTAAAATGTGGGACTGGTTGATGTCAGTTTCACTAGACATTTGACTATTTTTCTAGTCATTCCTCTCATTGAAATCTGCTCTGTTGTTGAACTTAATGCCTTTCAAAGCTGTCTGTCCAATACTTTAAGATAACAGAAAGATGCACATGTCATGAAGCTTGTGTATAGTATTTGTGCTGGCTCATCTAAGGGATACCATAGTTAAAAATCCATACTCAGCAATCTATTAATCTTTTTACCATGGAGAAAGTGTTCCTCACAGGCAGACAAGAGTCTTTCTCAGCAGCCTTTCTCATTTTGCAGCTGCAGTCTTGCAAATAGGAGAGTGATTTTAGTTACTTTTCAATGATAAAACTCAGCTGCCTAAGCATTTGAAGCACTTAAGAGTGTGTGTCGAGTGAAAGTGTGTTTAAAAAAAATCCCTTTAAACAATGTAACATGTGCTAAACACATTTTAGTTCAGTAGTTGTAAGCATACTGTTTTGTGTGCAATGAAGACATCTAATTTCTATATGACTTACGCAGGTTGTATGTATATGGTGTAAATAGTTTTACTTTGTAAATCTCCTGTGTGCATTCTCCATGCTGGCTTGAAGAAGTGGGGTGTAATTATAAAATCATTTAGAGTTTATTTCATAACGGTCTTAAAGACTTTAATAAATTGTGTACGGTAAGCAGGATAACATTACAGGTGATGGCTGTTTAAGGAGAACTTTGCCATCTCAACTTATGTACACATTGTTGGGTGTTCGGTGCATCAAAGAGTTTGATTTTATTTTGAAGAGTGCAGGTTTCAGGACTAGTGCTGTTAGAAATGAGTGAGAAAATTCAAACTGCTGCTCTCTAGAACCTACAGAAGCCATTGTAGTACAGACAGCTGGGGAAAAAAAAGGTTAAGATTTTATTTTTATAAAAGATGTTTTGAGAAGTTGAAATTGTTCTCTCATTCTGTTACAGACAAAAGAAATGTATTAATTTAATAGTAAGGACAACTTTCTGAGCAGATGTTTTGAGGAAAGAGATGTATTTCAAATGGGACAGATGATTTTGAGTGCTACAGTTCTACTACTAGTTACGATTTTTCCAACTGTAATACTTGTTATCTGTGCCCACCAGCTCCAGAACCTCAGAGCCTTCGATATTCCCCTTTTGCTAGTTTCGGCTACCAGTACTTGCAAGGAAATTTGTACCTTTTTTCGTTATTAATTCTGTCCTTTACTAAGCAGTCTTGCAAAGTCCGCACTATTGAACATTTCATATTGTTTTTAATAAAGCAACTTAGGAAAAACCTCATCTGTTTACGTGCTTTTGTGTCCTGTGAGATAGGACCAGCCAAATACACTAATGGCACGGGCAAGTGCCCTTGCAGCTATGAAGACCACTTCAGCAGTTCACAAAAAGTGGCTGCTGTGGGGTTTCAGAATTTCACAGTTTCAGGTGATCTAGTTTGCTCCCAGAGGGGAGAAGTTGTTCACAGTGAAAGCAGTAGAGACTCTGGGATTAGACCCAAGCGAACCTGATGTGCCTAATGCCCTTCTCTGGTATAAATATCCATTTTGCTATTCCTAAATTAGCATACGCTCTTCAAAATGTATTGTTTTTGGGTCGCAGTCATTCTTCACAGGGCAGTCAACAGAATAATACAGGAAAAGGATTGTCCTGCGTGGTTTACAAGAAGTCGGGCACTTCGCAGAGCAAGTCAGCACGAGGGGGCTTGAGCCGAGCGGACAGGGCCGCCGCCACCTCTGGGTCCAGGTCTCCACAGGCATCCTCCAGCTGAAACAGGAAGCAGTGGGGGGTCACGTGAGTTCTGCTTCTCTTTTGTTAGTGGTTCAACCTATGGGGCTGGAATCCTACCATTTGCCAAGTTGAACAGGTGTATATCAGAAGTATATAACTAATGAAAAGGTTTCAGATGTAGGGAAAGCATTACTTACACTTGCAACTGTAGTATAGAGAAAACAACATATTTCCTGTTCTTTTCCACAGTAGCACATAATGTTCTCCACATACAAATGCTACAATACTGAAAATACAATGTGTGTCTGGGATCAAGCATGTTTTATGTTGGAGAATTATTCCTAGTCCAGTTTAAGATTAATGTATGTGCACCTAAGACCTGACTTCAATCAGCACTTTACATTTGAAGAAATAATCCCCATGCTTAATAAATAGGTATATACCCGTTTCCTGTACAAAAAGCTGCTCTGTGGACACACTGAAATAGTGCGAAGGAGAAACCGCTGAGCTTCAGTCAGAATCTTCACAGAGTCGACCTGCAGAACAGAGAAAAGTTATTCAAGTGTAATAAACCAATTCATTCAGCGCTCTTTGTCCATAATCAACAAATGACAGGAATCCTACTGATACATAAACACCAACATAAACGGTGCTTGGGTACTCGGTGAAGAGTGAAGAATTTACATTGTTGGGCACCAAAATTAATTTTATCAATAACGATCATATCAACCTGTAATAGCGGTGTGCAATTAGATTCTTTCTGGCGAACAGCTACTCCTGTCACATGCTGGACAGCTGCAGGTTAGGAGTGACATCACTCAGAGACAGCTGCTCCTCCAAAAGGCGCCACTGCGCAGGTAGCCTGACCAATGGACCAATGGCAAGTCGCACTGCAGAGCACTACTGTACCGGCAGGCTGACGCGTTATTGTTGAAAAAAACAACTGAAGACTCTTAACTGGGTGGGTATGGAAAACGATGATCCCAAACGAAACCGGAAAAGTTGAAATGAGATAAAGCGGTATAACCCGAGACAGCGAACACTAAAGAGGATCGAGGCCCGTGATCTGTACAAACGTCAGACTGACGATCTGTTGCGTCACTCCTCCTGCTGCGTTTGTGCTCCCTTACCTGCTCAGGAATCCGTTGTTCTCCCGCTGTGCCATCCACAAACAGACCCACTAGTCTGCTGTACATCTCCAGGGCAGTTCTCAGGAAATCCTGGGCTCTGACTAAACAGCCCAGCTGGGAATTCTCCAGGCTGAGAACAAGACTGGGGAAAAACAGCTTCATTAGTTCAGGTTTCAATTTTGGAACATGGAAGTCATTAAGGGCTGTTAAATTAGAAGACACTTCATGATTTTGAAGCACTGATGACGCACAACGTAAGCAAACCTTACTGCAAGATAAATTAAACTTTACTTATAAATCTAAAGTTAGATCTTATAGAAAATGATCAATGAGAACAAAGAGCGACGATGAACGAGAGCTCATTAAATATTTATTATACATCCAAAGCTTGGTTGCCACTCAAACAAGGACAATACAAATCATATCAAGATCAAGCTTAGCTCTAGCCAGAAGTAGCTATTCATTTTTACTGTTTTCACTTCAAGATAAGCCATCTTCTTATATCACACACAGCACCATCTTACCTGTAGAAAGCCAGAGGCAACAACTTCACATGCATTTCAGACATCATTTTGTATACAATCTGGTATGGGCCTTGATCTCGGTAAAAAATAGGAAAAAGGAAAAAAAAATCTGTAATACCATGCAAGTAACATAATGACAGCATGGTTGCACTCTTAAGATCTTTTGAATTTTTAAGATGGATTTATTTATACCTAGTGAGAGGTTTTTGCTGTCTACAGCTGGGTCAAATTCCCTTTTGTCCACATGTAGAAGTTCAGTAGTGCCTATCTGATGGATTAAACACATCTCGGCTGTTTCGCCAGATCTGACCCAGGACTCCGGGTAAGCCAACATTTGACTGCTGCTGTTGTCTGTAAAATGTTACCTGCGCTTGGCCCACGGAAAAGAACCAGCCAATGACCACAGTCTTCGAGGCTCTTAAGGATGTCTGCACAGCGCTCCTGAGCTTGCTGGGAATCAGTTGGCCCCTTTACAACACAGAAAACTGCCCTTAGCTGACATGCAAAACTGGCAGCTCCGGAGATCACTACCTACACCGGAGTGACACACAAAACTAGAGGGGCAGTAGTAGGAAAGAAGGTTTCTCTGCGAGATGATGAATTTTCGAGTGGACAACAGAGGCCTTTTCAATCTGCTCTGTTCAGAGCAGCCAGAGGTAAAGAAACTCCTGCACAGCCTACAGCCAGGCAGGAAGTGGCCACTGGTACCTTGGGATGAATTTCGGCAGTGATGAGATCCATCAGGGAGAAGAAGAGAAGAAAAACCAGCAGCTGAAACACAAAGCAGAACAACCGATCCAAAGGTCAATTTCCCAACACGGACCAAACACCTTCACAGCTCGGAACGGTGTCGAACTGCACATGACACGTATATCACAGGGTGAAGGTGGTCTCTGCATCACAATTAATGAACCCCGCAACATCACACGTGCCATCAATCCTCGGCTACTCTGCAGGAAACCGAAAACGGAGTGTGTTCAGCCAGTCAAGTAACGTAGCTCAGGATTAGCTGGAGAAAGGGCCTCTCACAAAGACGGCCTACAAGAATTAGGTATCAGCAAGAGTCACGTAAATAATTCCTGGAGAAACATGATTCTGATACTCCTTATTAATGTTGACAGTGCAGCCCATTCGAAACGCAACACCTTGGAAAGCATGGAAAACGACTGATGCGGAGTGCCGTCTATGGAAAAGTTGATCTGGGCCCCTGATGCATGCTGGGAGGGGGATGGCCCTCACCTGCGGGCCGTGTTCCTCCAGCTCTGTCAGCGTGGCCCCGAGGCCCCGGCCCGCCGGGTTCCTCTGCAGGGCCCAGTGCAGACTGGCCGCCAGGATCAAGGCGGAGTCGGAGGCCGGAGTGGTCACCCTCCCGCACAGCACGCTGCAGCAGAGAGAACACATGGCACATCCTGTCCCTAGGACAACTCCCACCCCTCGATGCGCTTCCGCGACCACCGACGGTCCTGAAAGACTACACCGCTTGCAGCGGGGAGGTATCAAAGATATCGCCAATTCGAGGTTTCGATCCTCACCAATATCAGTCAGAATGAACTGGAGGGCTCTGCAATTCTGGGAATAACTTTAGACTGTTTCATGCTAAATAATTAAATTATTTTTTTTCTCCAACTTTTGTGTTAAATTACAGGGATGTCCCTAAAACCATTTTTAAAAAACAGCTAGAGGACACTCTACATGACATGGTACCACCTGAACAGTCTTGAATATTTAATACTCAAACATTAGATTCAGTACAAGACTTATATACCTTTAAAGAATATTCTTATTCTTATTACCCTATTGCCCTAGTCAGTATTTACCTACGGCATTTTTTTAAATTTCTGCAAAACAGAGAGAGTCTGGGCAAGGGAGTGTCTAACTTCCATTTTATTTCATAACATGTCAGTTGGGGGAGGGGGGGTAAAGGTGTTTATACATCATGAAAGCAGTGTAATAAGATCCACAGTGATCTAAACGTCTGGCTGGACGGAGGGCAGTACCTGCGGGCCCAGGAGTGGCAGTCTGCCATCCTCTGGAGCTCCTCTGGTAGTGGGTCTGCGCTCAGCCTCCTCCACTGGGACCAGAGCACGGGCTGCAGCCTGGCCCACCACAGCTGGCACAAACACAGCAGTTAGGCCTCTGGCAGGCTCAGCAGCCTCCTAACAACAGGGCTTAGCTGACTGATACCTGCCCTGGATTCAAAACGCAGTCATACCCATGCATGACTCACAGGACATCACGACTGCCAACCCCCAGTTGGGAAAGCACAAAAATAGAAGAATAACTACCAATTCAAAACTCAAACGGAAGCCTCTGGCGTTTTCAGGACTAGATTTAGAAGGTTCATACCAAATGTGATCAACAAATCAGGTTTTTTCAAGTGGGTTGTGATTGGGTCCAGTGTCCTTACCCCTGCCGAGATGATGATCAGAGGGCACTGCAGGGCGCACTGGGTCAGAACCTCACACACGGCAGCACCGGGCACAGCACAGTCCAGACTGGCGCTCAGCACGCCCTGTGGGGCCGACAGAAAACATGGCAACAGGGCACAGAGCTACCCAGACTCATTTCCTAACAATCAAAATCCCGTCTCACCCTGAAGAAGTGTGCAGTGAGCTCATAGGGCAGGACACACCTTCCAGTACAGCTGTTCCTCTGCAAAACACACATTCGCCGTCACTCACATTCAGAAAGCAGCGTGACTTTTACAGAAACGTCCCACGAAAACTAAACGGTGTGAAGAAAACCAGAAGCACCCATTAAGGAAAACCCTAGATTACATAATGGCAAACTATAGACTACAACATCAAATACTTCAGATGAAAGGATTTAAAAGTCTTATTAACCAAGTACCAGAAGGAAACAAATTAAAGTTTGCTAGAGTAAAATCTGCTCCAAAAGCTCTGGGCATGAAGTACCTGCTTTTCATTCACAAAGTCAAAGAACGTTTCGCAGTTCAGAGCAGTCCGCGGGCCCCTCCGACGAGCTCGCACGAGAACGCTGGGAGGCAGTGTGGTGAGTATGCTAAGAGGAGAGAAACGAGACAGGATGTAAGAACACCTGCCAGAGAGCACCAGCCTGGTCAGTAGGATGACGTCACTGGAAACACTTTGGACCAGGAGGGCAGAGCCTGGGAGCAGCTGCTGGCAGAGGGTAAGATGGGATGGTGGATCTTGGCAACACGATAAATACTGAGTCAGGCATGGTCATCACCCATGTTTACTTCAGGGAGAGTGGCAGAGGGTTAGCTCCTCACTCTCAAACTCCTTGAGAAACTCCACATAATGTTATCTGAATTATTTAATAGCATGAAATGTTGCATTGGGGCATGATCCTGATGAGGGATAAGGGGCAGAATTGGGGAGAATCTTTTGCCTCTAACAGCTGCCGTTCTGAAAGGGACAAAAACAATCTCAGTAGACACAGCTGCTCCTTGACATCTCCAATCTGCCCCCTAAGTCCTTGAAGAGGCACGCTGTGGTGGGGCTCAACCTGGTCCTCCTGGTGTCTCCGGTTACCTGGTGAAGGCGTGGAGGACCTGTTGGTGGGCCAGCTGGTCAGCGAGGTGGTCACTGCGGGGGATCGCTGCACACCTCTCTGAAATCGCACCAAAAAGGAAGTGGCCACCATCTTGGCAGTCTCCTGCAGACAGCCTCCTGGCATGCACCATCTCCAAATCGTACACCATCTCCTGCAAAGGCAGCCCGGAGACACTGCCTTGAAAATCACGATCAGGCAAAAGCCAGCTGAGATGTTGGGAGCAGCCGATGTCAAAGGAACCAGCAACAATGCTCATCTGCTAAGATAGAAGAGACCGACAGGAAACCATGTGCTCTTCAGTGACTTTACCTGGAGCCTAGAGAGAATGTCAGGATAACATGTGTCAGAGTATCTTCTTAGCTCTGATCCTTCAGGAAAACTGTAGTCTGAACAAGTCGACCTGCAACTGAAAATACAGAATAAAGAGCATCCAGTGTTTGCTTTTACTGGAAATAGAATAAATTCCCCACAAGCAAGCAGAAAGCAATGAAAAGGAATGAATATATTGTATCGCCCACGTATTACATTTTTAGCAGTATAAACCAGAACCGACTGGTCATCATCTTCATCTAAATCAGAAAAAAAGCTTACAAACCTACAGTACATAATAAGTGTTACAACTTCCAGCCTTTCATTTAAAACACTGTTATGTATTAAGCTCTGTTGCTCAGAAAGCTGGGGTACAGTTACAAGACTAGATCCTTTTTAACTTGGCTGACAGCTGAACTTACAGAACAAAACTGGTGAACATTAACAGATACCGGAAAGATATTAATGCTAGAAAATGACTCTAATTTAGGAGTTGATGTGGAGATGTGCTTGTGTTTTAAGCGGGTTAATCAAGTCTTTCACATTTCTGTCATGATTAACTTGAAACGGATTAACTGCCATTGATGGTCACCATACTAACTGTAACTGCAATAGCAGTCTATATGAAAAATGAAAATAAGACTAAGTTAGCATTAAAACCTTCACAAAAGGCATGGGAATAATGATTTCTAATTTAATGGAAAGTTAATTCAGGGTTTGCATTAGGCTAATTAGATGACATAATTCTATAATGTTTTAAGTGGTTCAATCAAGCATACTTCACCTATCAGTCATGATTAACTTCCTAGTCAGACTGTTAATATCACTTCAATAAACTGCCACTGATAGGCACTATACTAACTGTACCTGAAATTTGACCTACAGGAAAGAAAGATAAGACCAAAGTAACATTAAAACCCTCATTAAAGGGGTAAGAATAACGATTTAACTTGATTTATAATTTGAAGGGAAAGCCCACCCTATCCCTGAGAAACTCTTCCTAACCTGGGGTTAGGGCTTATGGGACAAAAAGGTTAAAATATCAGAATGACCTGAAAGTTTCCCCTCTCCTTTGCAACCACTCTTAGATGCAATACCA